CCCGTCCACTGGGTCTGGCAACCAGCCATAAATTTTGTTCATTTTCAGGGCGAAACAGGGTTGTAGGGCGTCATAACCAAAACCATTGGCTAGGTTGCAGGGTCCTCCAGCATTCAGATCATAGACACAGGGACGCTCCGGATCCTGGGTCAGACCTCCCTCCTGCACACAGTCCTCCATCTCCGTGCAACCGCTGTTGTCCTGGTAGGACTGGAGGAAGGCGGCGACCTGATCTATCAGGGAATATATTGGCAGAGGCACCGTCGTCCGAATGCGAATTAGACTGTTAAATAGGTCCGGTTGAGGCACGAAACTGAGGCCGGGATTCATACGTAGGGCACTGTGGAGCCCTGTCAGCTTGGGATAGTCACGTGATACTTGAAAATACATTAGCCAATTCAGGTAGTTGAAGAAGAAGGCTGCAAGAAGGGCGTAGAAGATGATGAAGTAGAGAAGGCGCTGGCAGTGGACTCGTAGTGCGGGCCCATTGAAAACACGGAAGGCAAGTAATTTAGGATCGGGTCCGTTTTTCAGCAAAGTTGGTAGGACGTTGAGCTGAACATACTGTGCGTATTTTTTAACACTCATAATTTGTCCCAACGAGTTGAATTCAGCAAAAGGTGCAATATGTGAACTGGGTTTGGTTGTCGGTCGAAGAAACCATACGCACTGGTAGACTAGACTTACAGTGAGCCCAGATTCCTCGCAAAAGAAGCTTTCAGCGATTTAGCGACGATTGGGTTTTTTCTGGGTTCTCTGGCGGAGAGAAAATGGTCTAATCGCATGAGGTGGTAGACAGCAGGTCAAACAGAAACCTGACCACTCTCTTGTTCACTTGTGTTAATTTTCTCGGGTTCTTCTCTTGCCAACTATGATTGCTCACCTTAGCAGACATATTGGCAGTCATCATCACCATCAGTGTAGTAAAGAATGTCTGCAACGGCTGACGTGCACTAGGGTTCATAAGTTGATCAGGTTTTGTGCAAGAAATGCACTATGGTAAGTTCAGTTTAAACGTCTTGTGAAATGGTGTGTACAACAGTGTATGTGATGTTTACCGTTCATGGCATTCATAAAAGCTAGAACAGGTAGGATCTCGGAACAAACTTTGCCAGTTCCTTCAAATATTACTATATACATATTTAGGTCAAAGGGAGAATGCATTCCGGGCGATGTAATGCAAGAAGGAAAACGTTCTTTGGAGTAATCAAGGTGTACTTGTGAATTTTCGAGTTGTTGAGAGTAACCCGTCCTTAGGCAAAATAAAACGAGGTTAGATATTAAAAATGTTATACTAGTTACACTAGCTACCCAGTCGCATAAACTGTCTAACATAACTTTCTTTCGCACACCTTTCATTTTGTCTGAGGACGGGCTGTTGTCAGCACCTCGAAAATTATCAGGTACAGCTTGATTCTTCAGAAAAACAATCTATAGTTATTTCTGTTTCAATATGGAATCAGCCGGCGGAGTCCTTTAGATCTTGCCCATCGAAATTTCTCTCTGTATTGACTGCTGATTTACTGTCCTGGAGGTATAAAACCCAATTTGTTTTATCCTTCACTATCCCCAGTGTGCCTTTATTTGCTAAAAAAAACTAGTTCCAACAAGAAATATCCTCGTTTATGAAAATATGCTCAAAAACATAAAAGACGAGTTTTTCGAAAATGGAGGTGATGCCCTGTGCCAGCCAGTTCTCGCTCATCGACGTTTTTCGGTCCAAACGTTGAATTTAGGCTTTGACGCAGTTTATGTTTCATGACATGGGTATCTTTTGTGCTAATTCTTGAAAAAAAGTACGCACATGGTGCAACACCGCAGTGAGCACAGCCTCATCATATGTCACTTCATTTAAAAATGTCTCTGTATGTGCTTGCTCTGAGCCACGAGCGACTGACGACATTTTGAGAAGTACCAGTGTACTTAAACGCTGAATGCGACCTCGAAATATGATAGTACCATCGTGCATAACTTTCCAAAAGGGCCCTTGCGAAAATTGCACCCAATGAATGAAGAAGACAGATTAGGAGGCCGAGGAGCATGGAGAAAAAGGTACTTTTGTTGGACACGGAAATCGTAACCTTGGCGGTCTTGCTAGGCACTTCTGGAAGACTAAGTATAGGCAGACACTATTGCCGGCAAGGGCAAAGGAGACTGGAATGGCCACTTCTGACTTACTAGCTCGAGGCTCAATGGTTAGGGCGTTTGCCTCTGATCAAAAAGGCCGCGTGTTCGAGACTCGGGTTGGACGCCACTTGAGTCTGGGTATGACTGGCTGACGACGCCTGTTAAGCCAGAAATGGCCATCTTATTCTCCCTTTCCTTTTCTTTACTATGTGCCTATACCATCAGTTTCTACGGCTGTCAGGGCCTCGTCGAGACCCTAGGCAGAGCGGAACAGATGAGTTCCGTCGGGTGATCGTTCATCAATGAGCGGATTAAATAACACCGTGTCAAAACCTACCACCTATCCAAAGTAAAATCCTAATTCTAACACAAAGCCTTACGTTAACTACTTTCCTGAACCTAACTCTGCCCCCAAACGTAATTATTGTCCTAACCCTATGCTGAAGCTAACCTCGATCTCCCGAGGAATTAGCGCGATGCACTCTGAATATGGAGGATTATGGATAAGTGAAGTAAGCTGCATTCCGAAATGATATGATGAAAAGAAAGAAGATCTTCGGAAGATCGAGTCGTACTGGTGAATTTTCGAACAGGCATTACTTGTTCGTCTTCAGACTAAAGGAAAAGTGAGGGCTGGGAATGTCGCCCTAGAAGTTTTGGGGACAGAGATTACAACGAACGGGAT